TAAACATATTAGTAAATGTTTGTACTTTACTATGCAGACATCCCTTGCCCTTTTTTTTTTTGCTGGCATACAGAAACATTGAGAATCCTAATGCATGCAATTGTCTGATCATTTATTTCAGGTAGTTGTTGCTTTACCGCATGGTTCTTAGTTTTACAACAGCTACCATTGTTTGTGTTGCTCTTGAAATTATTTCAATTCTGGAGTCCTCTTTGCTGATAATCAAGTGGGGATATTTGAACCATTCAAATTTCTTTGCTCAATTTTTTATTAGATGTTATTTAAAAAAAAAATGTTTAAAAAAATAAATGGCTTTTTCTTTTAATATCTAAAACAAAAAAAAAAAAAGCATTTTTCATCTTTGCTTTCCTATCCATTTTATTCTTTTTCAATGAAGATGCAATGAATGATCTGTGCAACAAAACCTTTTTCTATCCTATTTATTCACATGTGGGTGTTTACTTTTGTATAGAGCATGTTAACTGCCTTTTTCCTCAAAAACGTGTGCGCGTGTTTGCAGAAAATAACTAAGAAAATTTGAATTCAGCTTAAAGCTTCAATCTATCAGAATTTGTTTGATGAATCAACAGAATACGGCTTTGTTAAAAATAAACAAAAAATACTTATAGTAAAGGTGACATTGTTAGAGGAAATCATGTTGAACTGTAATTATGACAAAAAAAAAACAATTGTTTCATAACTCATTTACTTTTTCAGAAAAATAAATCTAAATTTCTATTTCATTGTTTATAGTCAGACTAATGTCCTCATCTTTATCAGGTTTCAATCATTATATCCTCCAGTTTTTTTTTTGTTTTTTGTTTTTTTTTTTTTCAGCTGTCTCTCAATCCAGATAACTTTCTGGGAAATTTGAGCTGAACCTTTTATTCAATCTAATGGTAGAATAATGTTCTTTTATTTCTAAGGATATCTCGTCTTTTTTTCCTCTCATGTACCTTTCAGTTATTGTTAATCTTGACTTGAACTGAACCCTTTATTCAATCTAATAGTAGAATAGTGTTATTTTATGTCTAAGGATATTTCATCCCTCCCCCAGGGGTACTGTTCAGTTATTGCTAATCCTGTTTTCACCAATTGAGTTCAATCCCTGGGTCAGGTAATATGGACTTGGTGGAAACAGGACTTAAAAATAAATTGAGCTGTACTAAAAAAAAAAAAAAAAATCTATCTGGGCATAGATAAGCAGAATGGGAACAATCTACATTATAGATTAAATAAAGGGTTCAGTTCAAAATTGCTTGAAAGTTACCTGGAAAGAAGGTCAGAGGTCACAATGACTGGAGCATTGTGATAACAGCAACAACAATGATGAAAAGGACATTAATCAGACTGTAAATAACTCCACATTCCAGAAATTCAAACAGAAATTTAAAATTGATGCTTGGCTTTGATTTGGACCATTTGGCTTTTGCTATTTAATGTCACCCACCTCCAGTGGTTTTGATTTTTAAGGAACTTTTTTTTTTTTTTTTCTAGTCAATCTTAGCAGGTGTTGAAAAGTCTTTAGATATGAGGAAGTCAGTTTGATTGCAAAACTATAGTCATAAACTGTCCTGTTATTTCTTTGGAATTATTTTATCAGTAATAAAAATTTCATTTTAGGAAAATAGCCATTAATAATAAAGAGTGTAGAGAGGTTAGTATGTTAAAGCATATTCTCTCAAATTTCTCGCTGGCATTGGACCGGTACTGTTAGAAGCATAATGAAATACTGAAAATCCTCAATAGTGTTACCAAAGAGCAAATGAATGAAATAAACACTGACAAGAAATCACAGAAGCAATAATGTGGACGTTTTATCACATTCGTTCGCCCTGATCAATAAAGCTTCTTAAAACAGAAACATTAGTTGGAGAATGATGAGACATGGAATTAGAGATGGCAACAGAATCTGCCTGGTTGCCAAAAATCCTTTCCAATACCAATTGACCAATGATCGGATCTGGTAACCTGGTCTGGCAAGAGGGAAGTTGTTCATCTTGTTGCAAATGTTAAAAATGAGTGCAACATTGATTCTGCTCAGATTCAGAAAAAAAAAGTAATACAAAAAACTAGTGAAAGAATGTGAGGTTTCAGGCTAAACATTTCTGTTGAGGTCAGCTGCAGAGGATATGTACTTGCTGAGATGGCTAGGATTCATTAGAATCAAGCAGAGAAACATAAATGTAACCCTAAAGGATATCCAAGCAGTAATTAAGATGAGCCATTGGATCTGGCTCAAAAGGAATTATGAAATTTTGCTAGGAAAATGATCCTCTGAAAGAATGCAAAGTAGTTGACAGTAAACCAATGGAACCAGGTGTTGAGAGCTCATATCTGAGGAAGGCAGGTGCACAGTAAAATCTATCATTCCTCTGCAGCCGTTAAGATTTTTAAATTACTAACAAAAAAAATTTTATGAATGAAAAAAATGTAATGGCAAGAACAAAACTGCAAGTAGCATTCTGTGTTAAAAAAAAAAAAATTAAAAGTAAGTTTTTTTTATTTTTTTTTTTATCTTAGTTCGATGAAAAGAAAACATTTCTAAATGTGTTTAAGCTAAACTGCTATATTAACCTTGGAAGATAACAGATTATCTATGAAAGAATATCAGTTTATTGAATTCAATAAAATAAATTTTCTAAAATATCACTAAAATTCAAAGCTGTTTACCTTTTTACATTTTAAATTTTGTTTTATTTTTGATGGTGTCAGGACATCAATGTTATATTCTTCATTTTGTGTTTCTAATGATATATTTCTATAATCAACCTTTCTTACTACAGATCTATATTGGTTCACTCAATAAATGATGAAATAATTCAATTTTGTGATGCATGAATTTTGTTGGAATGTAGTGAAGATATTCAAAACTTTTCAGAAGGAAATTTTGAATTACTCATTAAATTTTACTAATCTTATATAATCTCATCTTCCATTAAACATTTGCATCCACATCTAAGATTCTCTCACCCTCTCTTTTTTGGATGTTTAATGCCTTTAACCTATCAAACAGGAAAAAAACTTTGTAAATTTTTTTTTTTTTTTTTTTTTTTAATGAAATGATTCCCACTAGGCAAACATGATAAATAATTTTGGCCACATTTAAAGATTAATTATTTTGCCAAAATGTATTTTCTATGTCGTAACACAATTTCTGGTGACTTAATTACTGAAAAGTTAAAACCGAATTTGAACACTTAAAAAATTAGTAACCAGTAAAAAATTTTTGGCTCTTCTTTGATTTCCTTTTCTTGAAAAAATTTTTTTCCTTTTTTATCAAATATAAATGTAAGTGAAAAAGAAAATTATTTAAAAATGTTGATTTGTTTTATAAATATCTGTGCAAATAAAGTAAAAAAAAATTCAATCCATTTTTCAGGTTTGTGAGCTGAGGTTAAAAAACATTCCTGTAACTTTAATAACTTTTTTTTTTTTTTTTTTTTTTTTTTGGCTTCAGTTCAGTTCATATTCTTTGTCATGGCCAATAATTATCTTTCCTTTGATGTTAACCTTATCTCATCTTGGTTTCAATTTATTTATTATGTATACTGAACAATATTATCTGAGACAATCACATTACCATCTCTATGATAAATACAAAAATATCTGTCACATTTTTTCAATTAAAGGGATACAATTCTCTAACTTTCAATAATTCGTGTTACAGAAAATTTGGATTCCCAAGTTTTCATTACTGTGATACTTAAATGCAGCATTTTGAATTCTTCTGTAGTTTATTGTTGCCTATTGTATATGGCAGCAGTATGCCTTGCAAAAATAAAACTCCACCAACAGAGGACCAGATTGCAATCAAGAGCCAAGGTTGCACCTGTGCAAATGAGAATTCAGATCAAATGGCAGCCAGGAGAGCTTCTAATGCTGAGAATATGTAGACTTATGGACTCTCAAACTCCTGAATAAGCTGAAGGCCCAATCAAGAGACCTCTGCAGGAGCTAGCTTAAATGCCACCCAATAGGGCAGCTTTTAAGCTAGTTATTAATTATATTTTGATCATATTATATTTTGGGAGTTGGCCCATTCTTTAGCTGTTAAATTTAACTGCAGGAATTTGGGCTCATGTAGCATATTTATCTTGTATCTCAGGACTTTATTTTTCATAGACAATACATTAAACAACAAGACATCCAAAGTTGTCGTGATTTTACCAGCTTATTTTATGATGTTTTGTTGACTTCTTGGTTGTACTGTTGATAATCTTTTTGCTTTTTTACACAAAACAACTGCATAATGTTGCCTTTTTAAACTATTATTTATAACTGAATTGTATATGATATGGGGAAAACTGAAAAGGTTTATATCTAAATTATAACTCCCCCCCCACACACACACCTCTTAAAATGTTTATATATTTAATAAAATTATAATTAAGAATTAATAGATTTATTAATGTTCCAAGATATTTTCACAGGTTAACTGTTAAGTAGATTATTTAGTTAAATACTATGGCAAAATCAGGAAAATATTGTCACTTTGACAATGCAACAATTTAAAAAGATTACTTTTAGAATAGTACAGCTTATCTAATGATTTATTTTTAAAGAGGCATTTTAGAGAAAATATAGTTTGCATTAAAACAGTTATAGATTGTCTAATGAGCCATAAAAATAAACCATATATCAAATTTGATATTAACAATAATTATTTCTGCATATCAAATGAAAAATATGAATCAAAGAGTTTATGAAAACTTACTTGTTAGAAAAGAAAATTTGACAAGTATTTTTTTGGGGGGGGTTGTTTTTTTGTTTTTTTTTTTATCCTTACAAGACCTGTAAAAATATCACTTGTGATTGGAAGACCTTCATTTGTTAAGTTGGAGCAATTTGCTCAGCTTCCAACTTATTTATTGTGATATTATTATTATTATTATTTTTTTTTCCAAACTTCACAAACTTTATTTATCAACATTGATTTAAAAAAAAACAAAAAAAAATACTCTTAAAGATGAATACATCCATTTTATTTCTTTTTCTAGTCACCATTCCCAGGAGATGATGAGGAAGAAGTTTTTGATAGTATTGTGAATGAAGAAGTGAGGTACCCCAAATTTTTGTCCACAGAATCCATAGCCATCATGAGAAGGGTAAGTGCAAGTCTTTCTTTGAATGTTTTACCATTAGATAGTCTTGAGAGTAGGGGCCTTGAACACACAGCCCAAATTTCTGCAGCCTGTGGGGGAACCATTTTTGTGATCAACATTTTCCTCAAATTTTAATAAGTTTCATAAACTTGTCCTTCACCTCCATTTACTACTTTTGCAGTAGTAGTATTGAGCTTGACCTACCCACCAACTAAATTCAGTCAATCAGTTTTAAGGTTAACAAAATCTGTTCTAGTTCCTCTCCAATGAAGAAAACTTTACCTCCCTGCCACAACCTATACCTTATAAGAGAGTACAAATCTACCGTGTCCTGGGTATGACGATAAACTACATTTGGTAGCAAGGCCTCTGATTGGGTGATTGGAGGTTTTAAGAAACATGAAACTAGCTCTTAATTGCTGTTGTTCCCAGGCCCACTCTGACCCTGGGTGGTAGCACCTGTTAGGGTCCCAGCTATGGGCAAATAATGAACCCCCAAACAAATCAACAGCACATTTTTATAATACACTAACCAACAATACATTTTTTATAACAAAATGGCACTCAATGCAACACTAAAAAAAAATATAAAAATACATTTTATAGTAAAATTACCAACAATATATTTTATGATCTACAAACCATATATCTAAAAAAAAAAAAAAAAAACATATTTAAAATTACATGCAAAATGTCGTTGAAAGCATAAAATTATGTGCAAAATACATCATTGAAAGAATAAAATTACACGCAGAATATTATATTTAGATTTTGGCATTAAATAACACATAGAGGTTGATATGCCACTAAACAAAAACAGCTAACAAATGTGCTTTGGTCTCTCTCTTTAATTTTATAAGAAATAAATTTGACAACTTGTATTAAGGGAAGTGAAAATAAGCACTGAATTTATTATATACATTTAAGAAACCGTCTTGATAAGAATATTTAGAGAAATGATTGAGACTTGTTTGAGGGACTTATTGGAGATGGAAGAGCAATTGAGATGCAATACAATTATCTCAGACATGAGGAAATGGAAAGTGTTTTTATTAGGTGAGAAAGTAGCTGAAATGATAGACTAAACACAAAATTATTTGCGCTTGAGGGAGCTCATAGTGAAGGAATAAATTTTATAACACATTTGAGTGGAGGGGGTACACAAGATGGTAGATAACCACATGCAACAGGAAATGGGGATTTTTTTCATAATGAGAGGAGGAATAGATTTGATCTTGTAGTGAGTTGAAAGGGATGCAGGAGGTAAGCGACCCCTAATACAAACAAGAGAAAAGTTCTGTTAACTGTTTGAGAGAAGATTGTTAAATAAACTGAAATTGCAAGGAAGAAAAACTTGTTTTTAATCTACAGAAATGTTGACATTTTTATTTATTTTTTTGTTTCAATGTCAAAGAAAAATAATGCCAAGAAGAACTGAGCTTATTGAAGAAAGTGGGAATATTTTTATTTTGTGACAAGATATACATAAGGTTGCTAACTATCCTGCAAAATGTGGAATTGTCTTGCATTTCAAGAATTGATGATTCTTTTAAAAAATTATCTGTAAATTTTTTTTTTTACTATACTTAACACTGAATGGCTGGAATATGTGTGAAATCTTGTCCATGCCTCTCTGACATTCCCTCTCTTTCACATTTTGGCTTATGGCCATATCACATTGAAATATTGATTCTTGTACAATCAGTGAAATTAAACAATGTCGATCCTGGTCAGTACCTAGGTAGATGACCACTTGGAAATACCTGAGTTCCAATACTTGTCTGATACATTATATTCACTTGTTTTCCTTTGGGAATAGTATGTATCCAACTCTTCACCCACAAGTTATGGGTTAATTATTAGGATTTGTATCAATAAATCCCCCCCCCCCAAAAAAAAAAGATTCTTAAAATCTAAAACTGATTTCTGGCTTATCAATCTGCAAAAAGTTGGTAAGCTGTAAAATAAAAAAAATCAAATCATTCTTTCAGATTTCCCCATGATTAGTAAATTAACAATTGTTTTCTTCTAAGTTGTCAATTTGACTTAGTATCATACCTAAAATCTTGAAAGAAACTTTAATTGAATTCTCTAATAACAAAAACTGAATAATTTTTACAAAAGATTAAAAACTGCACTTCATAATACTATATTAAATGTTTGTCAGCAAATATTTTTGCAGGTATTTTGACCAATACAATTAAATTTTCTGGGGTTAAAGTATTAACCAAATAGATTGAAAAATAGATTCAAAATCATTATTTACTTGCCTTTAGTTTTTTATGAATTTAAGTTTCAGTAAGAAGATTACAGATTGACCAAAAAAGAAAAAATGTGATTACAGAAAGAAAAGCATAAAGAGAAAGTAAAAGTGAATCATTGCTAACTTTTGTTAAAATTGCAAACAAAAATTATCTGTTTAATTCTGTTAACATATTTCTTTGTTCCCCTCTTTTTTTGTCAATTAGTTATTACGAAGAAATCCAGAAAGGCGTCTTGGCTCAAGTGAAAGAGATGCTGAAGATGTAAAGAAGCAAGGCTTCTTCAGAGTAACTATCTTTTATTTGTAATTTTAAATGTATAAGTAATGTATTTTGAAAGTTGTTTTCCTTTTTTAAGATGTGTGTGTTAAAGCTCTCTAAATAAATCTAGAGAAGACAAATTAGATAAAATAAACAATTGTAAAATAGTACTTAGTCCTTGCTGATGTTTTTCGTCATTTGACTTTATCAAGGCAAGTGATGATAAGCAAAATGTTATGTAGTTACATAAAATTCAAAAATTGTAAGATGCTCATGTGAGAGCCTCTTTTTGGATATTAGTAACTTTTTCTTTTTTAAGAATATATATAGTATATATATTAATAATTTCATCCCAAGCTAGGTAATAAAGCCACCAAAGAAGCAAGGGGTTATTGAATGTGAGAGAATGAGAAAAATATACTGTTAAGAGGAGAATAAAAAAAAAAAAACAAGAATTAAGACAGAAGATAACGATTTTCATTGCTTTTAAATTTTTGAAAATCAAAGTTGACTAGGATACAAGAAGCCAAGAGAGTTCCACAAGCAAGAAGTGTGATAGAAGAAATTCTTAACATAGAACTTAGTTACATCTAGCAATTTTAACTGTAAAAGGATGACACCTTGCTGGCAATTTAGTACTATGTTAAAATTCATAAAATCTAGGTACCATAGAGGAATGTTCATCACAATTACCATGAAAGTCTTTATAGAAAAGGCACAGGGAAGATATGGCAGTAGAAAAGTGACTAAAACTGAGATGCCAGGTCAAGACCATTAATATACCAGACTGTTTGGATTTTATCAAGGATCTTTAAATATATCACAGGAGCAGCAGACCAGATGTGGCAGCAATATTCAAAGCAAGTTATGATACAAATGGTAGACTTATAAATATGTAAGATACATTCTGACAAGAAAAATTATCTAGCATGACTCGGTGAACCAACTCTCCTAGCAGTGTGTCCTGGGTATGATGATAAACTACATCTGACAGCAAGGCCTTTGATCAGGTTTTGAGGAGCATGAAACCACCTCTTAATTGCTGGTGTTCTAAGGTCCACCCTGACTCGGGGTGGTAGCACCTGTCAGGGTTTCAACTATGGGCAAATAGTTACCCCCTGCCCAAAAGTGGTCAAAACACAATGAAAGAAAAATAGGTTTTAATACCAGCAATACCTTTTTGGAAAAAATATTACCAGCAGTACATTTTTGAAAAAAAAAAAAAAATTATTACCAGCAATAAAAATCTCGTCAGCATTAAATAACCCATTGAGGTTGATGTGACATAAAACAAAACAAAATAAACTAAACCTAAGAATTGATTCAATATAATCTTTCCACTTCATGTCAGCAGAAAATGTTAGTCTGAAAAGGCGCAATAAATCACACTCCTGGAGGTTGGCATCAGCCCTGCTGATGGAAGGCAAAAAGGCTTCTCTCAGATGATTAAGAGAGCAATTTCATTTTCAATGTTAAAATTAAAAAGCCATTCCTTAACCCAGTTAACAGATTGTAGGTTATTTTTTTAGATCAACTGCCACTTTGACCATTATCAAATTTTTACTTACTATTAAGGCAGGAGTAAACAGTTATCCTTGGCACAGATACCAAGTTGAGAACTGATGACATCAGGAAGGTTGTTTATAAAAATTAGAAACAATGTCAGTTCAAGAATAGAGCCCTGGGGAACACCTGCATTAATGCAGAAAGATCTAGGATGGATGTTCAAGACAACTTTCATTTTGCAATTCGATAAGAAACACTGAATCAGTTCAAAAATTCATACAGAAATATCATAATCTTTCAACTTGTGAAGACTAGTATGCCAAACCCTGTCAAACTGCCCGAGGTTCACCATTCTCATCTAAAGCTTGATAAACTCTTTCAGTAATAATCGTTAATACATCAGCAGTTGGCTGAGAGGATATATATATTTTAATTTGTGGAATAAGTCTTAAAACATACATTGCCTAAAAATTGTAACACCCTTTTCAATTGACTTCAGAATAAAATGACAGAAAATGTAACTGGATTACAGTAAATAATCATACTGATCAATACATGCAGTTTCCAAAATAAGGGGCATATCAATAGTACTTGGATTCAGTATTAATACAGTGTATCTGCTATTTGGGAATCAACACATGTCAGTGTTCCTGAATGCATACAATTGTAAAAAAATCATAAATCCTGTAATACATTGTCACTTGCACCTGTGACCATAATTTTATAAAAGTTGTATATGACAACTGAACAAGTCGGGCATTGTCTTGCACATGTTCAAAATGAGACAGGTTTGGCTATCATTGTTGAAAATCTGACAGAACAAGTTGGTCATCATGTAGGCAGACATTATTCTGCTGGAACAGCACATGACTTTTCTATTGCAAGAAATGATTCTCAGAAGATGAAAGAATATGTCAGTGAAAGCCTTAGATGATGAATTTATATCTTTCTTATTATAAAACGCAGATTGTGTGTGTGTGTCTGTACGTTTATATATTAGATCGGATTTCCTAAATTTTTAAATCGATTTCAACAAAACTTCACATGACTGCGTAAAATTACCTTGCGGTGGTTCTGACAGTGCCAAAAATTGGAAAAACAATTGTTTTTGCATGAAATCAATTTGAAAACAAGATAAAACATGATTCTGTCGCCAGAATGAAAGGGGGACAACTCATATTGAGTTATACTTATAAAACCCAGGTTGTTTGTTTGTGTGTGTGTGTTCGTTTATATATGGGATCGGATTTCCTACATTTTTCAACCGATTTCAACAAAACTTCACTTTTTTTTTTTTTTGGCAGGTAGTGTTTCTTATTGTCTTGCACACTTTTTTCTTTATCTTTACATTCAGAATGCTTTAAAATTCCATTTACAAGACAATTGTTTATAATAAAATTCTATTCAATCGATAGAATCATTACGATTGAAAACAATGTTTTTGTTTGAGTTTGGGTTTGACCAATTCGTAAAAAAAAAAAAAAAAAAAAAAAACTAATCAAGACATGCGTGTCCGTCAACCTTAAACAATGATCTTTGTCAATTTTATTTTTCAGTCTTTATGATGGTCGATACTTGATCTATCTCTTACTGTTACATCCCCGGGCAACGCCGCGCTCTACTGCTAGTTTAATATAAAGTCACTTAGCCGTTATTAGTTATTTTACATGATTATTTTCTATCATCTTAATTTAATTGCTTTCCTTTTTTATTACAACTTGGGCTGTCAATTCTTTGACAATTGAGAGCAGACAGCACAGATTGGAAATAATGGCTCCTTACTTTCTGATCTGTAATGTCTCTTCATAAATTGATAGCTTTAGAAAAGTGATGATAAAAAGTAACTGAAAAACTATGACAAAAATAAATGTCAAAAATGAATAACAGTTGACCATACCTTATTTAACAAAAAATTTCATATCTTTTGATTTGACAAAAAAAATTATCAATTTCTTAGTGTTTAGTTTTCTACTTAATAGAAAACACTTTATATATTTATTAATTCCAATTTCTGTTTAAAAAAAAAAAAATCTGCATTGTGTATGTTGTCTAACACAGAATTTTCCAAACTGGTGTGCTGAGTTGGCCTGACTCTACTGAATGCCTCAATCTATTTTATTGGTCCACAAAATCATACATATCTGGTGAAGACCCCAATACAAAAACATTTCTAACCTCCTCAAGAATATGACAAGGAAGAAATGAGAGCCCCAGTCTATCTAATCTTTTTTTAGACTATCCCCTGTGCATTTACAAGCACAGATGTTAAGAGATGGTCACTGATCATTTAAACATTTTATACATCTCAATTGAATCTATTAATAGCAGACAGTGATCTTGCTTTCCCTCCCAAGGCCAATGTACTGATGACATAGGTATTCATAACTGGTATAAGAATAATCTTGAACAAAAAATCAACATCCTTTATCAGATGTTTCAAGAAATCAGACTTGAGATAAACTTTTCCAAATCAAATTATGATCTGGAATTGGAATGAAAGCAATGATGATACCTTCTCTAAATCCATCATAAAAAGTCAGGATGTGGAATTAGTAAATACTAAACACTTCAGATACCTTGGCGTATAGATCAGTTATAACAAATTTAGTATAGGAGACAAGGAAATTAAATATAGAAATTTGATTTGAGTAAGATTTTAATTGCATGATTAATTGTATCTTTGAGAAAATGCCTACATGGTTTGGAAAATCTCTGCCAATATGTTGAATCAATTTAAATGATCTTGGTGAAATTCTATTTTCTTTTCTTCTTTTTTTTTCTTTATTTTTTTTCTTTATTTTTTTAAAATCACCTCAGAAATAAGGAGGTGGTAATGCCACTGGGATGTAAGGGGTGGCTGGGAGTGAGAGAGAATGAAAAACTATAGAAGGAAATGGAAACCCAATCTTAAACAGGAAGCAAGGGATAAACCTCTACTCCTGTTCAAAAGGCTGAGGAGGAATGTGAACCAGATGATAAACAAAACTATCTACTCTCGATCTTTCTAGACTATGCCCTGCACATTTGATCACATGTGATGAGATGGGCACTGATCATTTAAACATACCATACCGCATCCCAAATGAGTCTACCAATAGAAGACAACAATCCTGCTCTCTCTCGGTGGCTATGCTGATGACATAGGTATTCATAGCTGGTATAAGAATAATCTTGAACAAAAAAATCAACATCCTTTACCAGGTATTCCAAAAACTAAGACTCAAGATAAACTTTTTTCAAATCAAACTATGATCTGTAATTGGCATGAAAGCAATGATGGGACTTTCTAAATCAATCATAAAAAATCAGGATGTGGAATTAGTAAATACTAGACACTTCAGATACCTCACTGTGTGAATCAATTATAACAAATTAAGTATAGGATATAAAGAAATTGAACATAAAATAGACTGTTAGCGGTAGTTTCACTCAATATCACAAGTTACAAAACCAAAACTAAATCTAAAAAACTTATATATATTCTTAAATAACCTCATCAGATTGAAACTTTCATATGGATATCATGCATAGCGCCAGACCCATTCAGAAACATCTAAACTGTCAGCTGTATACAACCACTTTATCAGACAAAAATGGCTTTGAGTGAATGAAACCCCATAGATCTCAGCAGGGGGCCATTCTTCAAACCTTGCAGACTGACATTGTAGAATCACAAGCAAGGAACTGTAGCAAATAACAGAAATGACATTACTTTAGGACTTTCAACAATAGAAACAATTAAAATGGATATCAAATATGATGGAGAACAAAAAATAATGACATAATAAAAAAGTTGACATTCCACACTACTTCAACAAAAGGTTAGGAAAGAAACCACCCATCAATACTGGAAAGTGTGATGAACAGCTACTGGACTTGAGAAAACTATATTCCTGAAAAATTGTTTTAATAGAATTTTATAAATTTCAACTATTGGTAGCACTGGCTGCTCGGTCAATGAATGGTGAATGTTTCCTTATAAGGAAACTCTTAATAATTACCATTAGTGTAATTAATTAAACATTTATTTTAATTATGAAAAGTTCAGTCATTTTTCTTCAAATTTTACTTATAACAGCAAGATTAAGTTAATAAAAGTAATCTATTTTTTGTGTTAAGTCTTTGGAGTTTGTTTTTTACATTAAATCAGCACATGATGGTAAGAAAGGATGCCTTTTAGACTATATAAAAATTGATTTAATTATCTTAAAAATGAATCTGAATAAAAATAATAAAGTTTGGTTTGATTTGGTTGATAAATTTCAACCTTATTAATTCTATCTTTTTTTGTTTCTCTTATAAAATGAGATATTTAATTGTGATAAAATTGAGTGATTGATGAAAATTGAACTTATTTTTCTTGTTTTGCAGAGTGTCAGTTGGGATGACCTTCTTATGAAAAAAGTTAGACCTCCATTTGTTCCAACTGTGGTAAGGAAGCATTTTCTTTAAATGAACATCAACTTTGATCTTTAAGATTTGAGGATATTTTTAATTCATTACATAAGAGCATTTTGAGCTTATAAAAATCTTCATTAAATATCTTAAAATCATTAAGTTTTCTTATTATATAATAAAAATTGAAAAAAATAATAAATATATATATATATATATATATATATATATATATATATATATATATATATATAGAGAGAGAGAGAGAACATTGAAGTCAACACTCGGAGGTGACAAGCTGTTTCATGCTAGACACAATCATCAGGCCTCTGTTGACTTCAATGTTCACTTATATTTACATACGCTCTATCTTTGATATTGAGCACTTTATCCCATAAATATAGCACACCTTAAAACACACACACACACACACATATATATATAAAATGTTTTTTTTTTTTTTTTTTAACTGAAACCTGTGTGGGCAAGGATAGTATCATGAGGAAGTGACCAATCACATTTTCAATCATTTTCTCAAACACCTAAATAAAACTTCTGATTTAACATCTCCCTAAAAGAAACCGATTATTTTGTGCATGATCTCATTCACATCAAAGAAAAATCAGTATGCTACACTTTTATGCACCTTTTTCATTGGATTAAGTCTTGCTTTGTTTCAGATTATAAACAAGATTCCTCAACTACTGTGGAAAGAAACTTAAAATTTTAAAGTTGATCCTTCAAATTGTGGCATACATTTAAATGATTCAAGTTTTTTTTTTTATTTTACTTGAGGAAGCAAGTCTTTTGTGGAAATGCATTTTATTTTCAAATTTCCTATTAGCATTCATTGGAAAGAACTCTAAACCAATCACTTCATATCCATAGTTTAAGGATGATTTTCCAGTCTTTGTATGAACTTTTTGTCATTTTGCCTTGTTAAAGGTCAGCCTGGTCATGGTTAGTGTCTTTAAATGCCATTTCATCACATGAATACCACACATACATATTTTTACTTCTCATGGCATAACTATTTGAGCAGCAGAAACACATTTTTTATAAGCCATTGTGAAAACTGACAAATGTGCGTGGGAAAGAAGTTACATGAAATAAATCCATTTATAACATTACATGACACTAACTTGTGACACCTAGTGGTGCAATGTACTGCAAAGTTCACTCCCTTGTATTAAGTGTATGGAAAAGCTTCCACAATTTTTTTATTTAAAAATCCACTTTTATTACAATCATTTTCTGTATATTTCTCAGTTATTTAACTACTCACTTCAATGCATATCATTTTTTTTTTTTTTTTTTTTTTTTTATACCTATTTAAAGATTATTTACTTACTTTTTTTCTTCTGTTTCAGAAACACCCCGAAGATGTCAGCAACTTTGATGAAGAATTCACCTCTGAAAAGGCCATATTAACACCCTCCAAAGACAATCGACCACTGACTTCTGAAGACCAATTATTATTCAAAGATTTTTCATTTGTGGCCAGTTGGTGCTGACCACTTCCCTTTAGGATGGCTTTATTATCTATGCCAACACTACCCTAGAATCAATATGGCTGGAGAACAACTTGAATTTTTTTTCTCTTTATTTCAATATCAGAGTCAACTTAAGTAGATCTTCTGACTCCATGCACCCAACTCTTTCAATTCCTTCATCGTTAGTGACCAGTTATAAGAGTCATCTCTTTGTATGTTCATCCAGGACTTTAATGAAGGCTTTTTCCTACCACATTTATCCAAGTTTATTGACTTTCAAAATGCAAAAAGTGAGGACATTATTTTGAAGAGTTCTCTGCCCTTTATAAATCACAGTTGATGAAAGGAATGAAATATCTAAGATGGATTACACGTAAAGAAAAAAAATTCGATGAAATTACCCCCCTCCATTTTTTTTTTTTTTTTTTTTTTTTTTTTTATATATGCTGCGATAATATAGAAATTATAAGTTCTCTGTCAAAAACTGTTTATAAAAAGAACACTTTGATTGTATATCTATTTAGCCTCTAAGTCAATGATAATTACTAAAACTCTAAATCCATAAGAAATTGACATAATTAAACTTAATTCCTGCGAATGTATATCGAAGGCTGCCTTTGTTATTTATAACAAAGCCATTATGTATATCCTTGTCCTGAAATCCTAGAAAAATCTAAGATTATCATCTTCAATACCTTTCTGAAAAACTGACACTTTCCCCTCTATGCTTTGAAGTGATTGATCTGACATGAACAAGGCCTGGACATTCTGCGGACCATCTTTCTGTTCCATTACAAATAAAAAAAAAAAAAAAAAGGAATGATTGATGTTTATGTCCTTGGTCCCTCCCCCTTCCCCTATACTTAGGGCATCCTCATTGTGCCTGTCCTTGACAAAGAAAAAAAATAATGACAGCATTGGTCAAAGTTCTTCATTGTCTTTTCTGCAATACATGCTACTCTTTCTCTTTCCCACACCCACCTACATGCTTGTCTCTAACATTTTTGTTTCCAAAACACTTCCAGTTAAATTCTGCTCATAAAATCTCAGACCTCATAAAAACATGAAACAATCATTTGTTTTGATCAACCATAAAAGGATGAAATGAAAAGAAATCAAGTTTGAGACAATCAATTTTTGACCCCAGACTATGATCCTCATCTTGATGTTTCAAGCTGAAAATTGTCTCTTCTTTAGATATTATCATCTCCATGGAGTTCTAACCTCCTTTGCTTCTATTTCTTTACATTTGGCAATTTTCTTCAAGCCCTGTTTTTTTTTGTTTTGTTTATTTTTCTCCAAAAGCAAAAATCCTTTGGAGCGTGGGGAAAGACATTAATCTAATCTTGTTACTTATAAAAAAAATAAATTTGTCCCAACTGAAGCAAGATATTTAAACTTAAGCCAAATTTCCTCCTTCATTTTCTTTTCCTGCTTAAGATTTGTATTTTATTCATGAAACTAGAAGATTCTAATTTTCTGGTAAAAGGATTTTTTTCATTGTATTGTTAGCAACATTTAATATTCAAGTGAGATTAATAGATGCTTATAGACAGTTGATAATTCATTTCTAATAAGCGCAATACATTTATAAATATTTAATAAGTCAGTCACAAGAAAAACTTAAACCTTTTACTTATTGATTTGTTCATGGTCTTGTACTCATTTGCCTGTGATAATAATACCTGATCATGGCGGCCAAATTAAAAGGATTAAAAAATAAAGTTTTCATCAATAATCACATGAAATTTTTTTTATAACCTGGAACTGTTTTTGTGTACACACACACGGACACTAATAATTACTTGTCTTTTGAACTCTGGCTTATCTCTGCAATCAGAACCATTTTATTTTGTTTACATTTAAGTAGTCCTTGACCAACTCTATATTATTCTGGTATAATTAGTACTGGACAGTATTAAGAAAAAGTTATCTACTTTGGAAAATCATTCAAAAAACTATTACATTGCAATTTTCTCCTTGTGATATTAAGGACAGCATTTTGCATTGCCAGCATTTATCAATCTCTAAAAGAAATTTATACATGATAAAATGGTCTATTTTAATGCTATGAAAGGCATTGAAGACACTGTTTCAAATAATTTTACTTTAATATTATTTATTGATAGTGCTTTATTAATATTATCACATTTTTATTTTTTTTCTTTGGTTATATTGATCCTATAAAGTTAATTTGGAGAACTTTATATGTTATTTTGAAGCAGAATACTAAAGATGGTCAGAAATGACCTTAGCTCAAAAGAACCATATAAGTGAAACCTTTTAAAACAAATATTAAGAATATTCAGGAAAAAATATACAATCTCTAAGTTAATGAAAATATTTTACAAAAAGATAGCAGTATAAAATTCTTTATATTACTTATTACAATTTTTACAAGTAAAAAAAAATTGAACTGTTGGGTGATTTCCTCCTGCCTTGTTTTAATTTGAAATCAAATTTTTTTGACATAACGTAGTTCTAATCTCATGTCAAATAGTTTCACCAGAATGTACTTATCTTGTGTGGTGGTTAAAAGAAAAAAAATGCAGTTATTTGATTTGTGTTTAACTATTAAAATGTTTATTTTAGGGAAATTGATTTTGTTGTTGACTAATTCTTTGTCTCTTCAATTACATTCTTATTTTGAAAATAATCTGAAATAGACTTTTTTGTTTTTTCTAATTTTAAAGATTGTATTATGAGATACTATCTTAAAACCAAATGAACCTGTAGCTGGTTATTTTACGTATAAGAAGTTTGTTGTAATAGACATTTTTTTAAATAATGGATTAAACATTTCTAATCAATAAGCTTCAATGCTTGTGAACGTTGATATTTCAACTTCTAACAGAAGATATCAATTTAATTTCAGAACCAAATGGGTTAATTATTTAAAAAGAAATAACTAAAATTTTAATTTTTCATCAAAAACAAACACATGGACAAAATTAAATAAAGTCCAAATAATCTTAAATGAAATTTTTTCTTTTGTGTAAATTTCTAGAATTCATTGAAAGAAAAGGAAAATTTTTAACTAGAAATTTGTAACCAAAGTTCATCAACTTAAATCTAGAAGTTGGATTAACTATCTTAGAGCTTTAAAGGTCTTCTTGATGCATTTAGTTGCCTCTGTACTCTACATGCTTTTTTTTTTTATAATCTCTCTGCAAATATAGCCTACTTGTAAATTTGAAACTCTTCTTATCTCTAATTTCATAACTTGTTCATTCTTTCTCTTCACATTTTCTTTGTATTAATTTTCTCTCTTATTGTCTTTGAACTTATTTTTTTCTCTCCTTGCATATTTTTGCAATTCATTTTTATTAAGCCAAGGAATTCTAACACTCTCTCTCTCTCAAACACACATACACATATATATATATATATATATATATATAATTTCGAGGAGGAAATAATTTTTGAGAAAAAAAAAAAAAGGAAGAAATCCCTCTTTTCTCTGTAGATATACTGCCATACATAACTATTTTATACGCTGCAAGGATTAAGACAATCTCTGATCTTAAAACCGTGATGATGATGTGCAACATTTAAATGTATTGCTTCTCTATTATTTCCTTCATTTATTGATTGGACTAAAAATTTTCCCCCGTCCTCCCAATTATTTTTTTTGCTTCATTTCTCTATAAATCAACTCGAACAAATATTCTGTATTTAGCATATTTAACCAAGGAAAATACTGAACAGAAAATAGTAATTTCCCTTTCTGTTGATAATGCCTAAAATGAATGTCGATACATTCACTTAGATTAATTTTCAGTTGCTTGGACAGAATTTGCTATCAACCTGGGGTTAACCAGATTTAGTATCCAATAATAAGGCACGTTAATTTTTTGTCATTTGTAGAAGTATATCTTAAAAGAATTTGGAAACAGGTGTAAAGACAATCAAGCCCCTCCTAATATAGTCGAATGGAATTCTTTTTATTACAAAATTGATGAACTATAACTCCAACAGAATTTCTATTTTTTTCTTACCTAATCTTATAGCTTGGAGTTAAAGATTCAGATTTTTTTTTTTTTTTTTTTAAATGGTAATCTAGAGAATATTTCCCTTTTTTTTTTTTCTTTTTATTATAGTCTTTAGAATTTTGAAGGCATTGCATAGAAAAAAGTCTTCAGACATACACATCAAATTCTACTCATTTTTTTTTTTACCCATAACATTTTAATCATGTATCAGGTACAGGGAATATTTATTTTGGAGGAAAGTGAAATCTGAAAATAAGGCAATATTAAATAAATTTACAGGGTAAAAATGAGATTTTATTTATTTTTTCTTAGCTCCCCTGCATTCTGATCTAATTCTTAACCACATCTCTTTACAGGTCATCTTTCTGTGAACTTGGAAATTTTTTATGCAATTGTGATTTTTGTGAAGAAATTAGTAATCCACATTTCTTCCTTGTCAAATTTCCTGTTTGCTTTAAGCTTTCATGCTAAAGCCATGAAACTTTTTTCAGTTTTTTTTTTTTTTTTATATATATCCTGTGAAAAATTGACAATTTAAGTAAATAACTTTCAGTATCCCTTTATTATTGTGAAATTTTACCTCTATGGTTAGATGTTCTCTCTTCTTTGTCATCTGATTCTTCTCTCTCTTCTCCAAAGACCAACTTGCTGGCCATATCATTAATATGTACCTGCTGATCTTTTTTATGATCTGTAATAATTTGTACCTCTTTCTGTTGGCCAATAGAAATATTTAACCTTTCTCTCTGTCAAAAAAATCTGGGTTGTGCTAGAACGAAGTAGACTTTCTCCCCACCCCCATGCATTGTACAACAACAATGAGGATTGCTGACACAAATGATTTTTTTTTTTTTTTTTTTTTAAATGATAAAAAAATGATTTATTTTTTTTTAACATGGATACCCCCTCCCAAAAGACCGTGTTTTCACTGCTTGCCCTCCATTATTATAAGCTCAACACAATTTCAGTATGCCCTTCCCTTACTATTTGGGAACTTATGGTCAAATCTACAGTCCCATTTACTATTTTTACTCCCTACAAATTTTATACATTTTCAGGGTTTCAAAAGGGAAAAGGAATAAAGTTTTTTTTCTGTCTGTCTGTCTCTCTCTCTCTCTCTCTGTGGAAAAGATTTTAAAAATAAATTGAAAAAGATTTACGAATACTGAATGCTGCTCTCACTTTCGATCCCCCCCCCTCCAAATATTTGTACAATTATGAATGGGAGCAAAGTTATTGGATTTAGATTTTTTTTTTTCTTTTTTAAATAGTCAATTGTTTTGGTCATCAATGTAAATATTTTGTCAATTCTTCCCACCAAGAGTTTCTTCTTCTTGCCAAAATAATGGCTACATTTGAAGTTGTATTGGTTTATTATATATAATGTTCTTTTTTTAAAAAAAAAAAAAAAAATGGGAGGCGAACTTTGGGATTTTAAAGGATTTTGTTGGAGGGAAAAAAGTTCTTTCTTCAAAATGGTCCCTCACACATACATCTACCATTTTAACTGTAAAGTACAAGGTGATGATGCTCAGTATTCCCCCCTCCCCCCCTAACATTAAAGGAGCAAAAATAAACACATTTTTGTAGACTCCACCCCAACACCAACACACGTACACTTGCCGTATTCTTCCCCACTGATTCAATACTCTACTGGTTCATTACTTAGCTGTTCAAATAAAATCATAAAGTAATATATTCCAATATTGGAAAATGATTCTTGGAAATTTTTTTTAGGGGGTGGGGAATCTGCCTTAAATCATTAAATTGGGTTTGCTATTTGAAAAATAATCAGATTCAGTTTTGATTAACAAAATAATAACAGCCTACTTTTGATCTATATTTTGTGATGTAATCTTTTTTTTTTAAATATACTAGAAGGATATCATCCTGAGGAGTCTCTTAGTGGGATTGTGAATTTAATGGAACATAATTGTTTATGGTAGAATTACAAAAAAGAATTTTGTATTGCATTCATGGAGATGAAAAACTTTAAGGAAAAATGCCTAAGCTTATCTTTTTTAATGTTTTTTAACTTTCCTCATTACTCATGTTAACACTGATGTGAAATATTTCTCTCAATCTGACAACCAAAATCAATTACGCATTGAATTATTTTCAGCGTTCTTTCCTGATTATCAGAAGTGAACTTTAGTGGAAGTCTTTTTCAACTTCCATGACACAGATATTCAAAACAAAATGACTTATCACAATAATTGAAACAGAAAGCCAAGTTACATTTTTTGATTTACTTGACAAAGCAAAGTCTGGCACAGGGTTAAGCAGTCAAACAGTAAATTTGTCAAGCCAAAATTATAACACAGCACAATCAAGAGTGCAAAGGATTCTTAATTTGAATGGTAAGTAATATATAAATTATTGAACTTTCAATTGGTCTGTTTATCACTATCATGGATCATTATTATTATTATTATGAATTGTACCATTTTGGCTTTATAGATGAATTAGTTGAATGAAAATTAGTTAAAATGAAAATTGAAAAAGATCTTTACATGCAAAACTGAGAATATAATTCTAATATTTTAACATTTCTAGGATGGGATTTTGAATTTTGGACACTTGTAATTGGGTGGGGGGTGAATACTTCAATTTTATGGTTGCCCAGATTAACAGGCAAATAGTTGATTAATATTTTTTGGTAAAGTGAAAATTAAGACAAAATCTTGATGGGGGGTGGAAAAATGAAGGGATAACAAATATTTCTATTGCTAATTGTCTCTGTATTGTAACTGTGTGATGAGGGGTGGGGGTGGAAGAGTCTTGATCTCTAATGATTTTGTGTCCCTGGAAAATTGGAGTGGGAATATCAAGATATATCTATTAATATTGTGTATTGTGGCAAATCTGAACAAATAAGGGTGGGTTGGGTACAAAGTTTATATCAGTATCACCTATGTTGTGACAGACATATGGGATGGGTAATATATGATCAGTAGTGGTAATACTGTCTCTTAAAATTATAACAGGGTGGGGAGGTTATATTGTATTTGCTATATTGTGACAGATAAGATGGCTAGATATGGTATATATTGGTAATGTGTTGTATCATACACCGGGAAACAAAAAGTGAAATGTGTCATTATTAGTGATTATTGTATTAATTTCTATCTTTTTTATGGGGTTGCTTGGGTGATTTTTTTTTTTTCCTCCTATACAGTATTCCAGTTCTGTTTTTGTAATAATGTAACCAGTAGAAGGGAACTTTTTTTTTTTTCGTCCTTCAGTTTATGTAACACTTCATTATTACATTTTTACGTGTTATTTTCTCAGGGTCCCTGTTGGATTTGTTTATTAACCTTCCAAAAATGAGGTGTATTAGGAGGGTAAAGGACATTTTTTTCTCCTCCCTAAATGTCTTCTTTTCCTTCATCTCTGCTATGACTCGATAATAATGTTGCTGTCTCTTTAATTTTTTTAATTTCTTTTCTGAATGTTTGTTGTGGGAAGATGTCTCTGCTACTCTCCTCCATCTTGTCTCACTAATGTTGTCATAGTTTTTTTTATATGGTGTATTTTTTTTTAACGTTACCCTTACTCCTGAGATATATATATATATATATATATATATATATATATATATAAAATGGAACTTTAAATTTTAGGGTACATTCTTCTATATTTTTTTAAAATCCCAAGATGAGTTGTTCTGCAGCTGATTTTGTCCATGTCTTATGCACAAGAGATAAGCAGTCTTGTCAAAAAAAAAAAGTATATTCACCTTTTTATTTTGAGGCAGTAAAGCTCAAAATTATATTGCAAGGACTTTTTTGTTTTGATTTTTTTTTTTCTTTCTTTCTCCAAATAATAAAATTTTTTTTGCTTTTTTCATGACTTTTAGTTTTTGTTTCATTTATTTATTTATTTTTATTTCAAATAAAATCTAAATTTGTTTTTCCTGTCCATCAAAAGAAATTGAAATTAATTTTTCTGTGTTTTTTTTTTTTTTTCCTATTTTTTCTTAGCATATTTTCTGTTGTTACTGCTTTCACAGAAAGAATTGGTAAAAAAAAAAAAGTGTAGGCAAATAAAGCTTTTTACAGAAGTTAAAAAAAAAAAAAAAAAACAATCCTAATCTTAAATTTTGTTAAGCAGCCATTTTGAATTATGCAATAATCCAGACATGTTTATTGAGCTATCAACCATATATTTAAAAAGCATAAACTCTTAATCTTCTCTGGGAATTCAATTGTATCAAGAGCTCTGAGCATTTAAATCAATTTTATTTTTATTTTTTATTTAATGTCATTCCTTGTTTGTGCCCCATTCTGATATGAACATGAGTAAACAACTTAAAAAAAATAATTTTATTATTCAGTGAATCATTTGGATACATGTCTCTTTTTTTTTTTTTTTTTTTTTTTTTAAAAAACAATTCCATTTCAGCTAAAAGATTCACCAGAGAATCCATTGTTGGTGATGACAAAGATACTCTTTGATTTTTTTTTTTTTTACTGCAAGCAATATCATTTAAGCATTTCAGACAATGCTAAGAAGACCAAATAATTTACCCACCATAATTTAGAGCAGTTCAAAGCAAAAAAAAAAAAAAAAAAGAGATTGTTAGTCTGAATGATTCAGGTTAAATCAATATTCACCATTGTTATTTTTAAGCTTTGCAATTGTTCTATCTTTTTGTAATGCATGTTGTATATAAGTAAATTTATTTCACTTAAATTTGTTTTTCATATTTTTATAGACTTAACTGACACATCAGTTTTGGTGACAATAATCCTGTATCCTTCCAGGGTTGCTACATTGAGCTACTTTTAAAAGCCCAGCAATATTTAATTCTGAATTTCACCACTAAGTTGTTGAGCTACTTCTAAATTTTGCTTGCACTATTAATAATTCAATTCAACATTTAGTAGCACTAAACTTTCAAATGTACTTGAACCCTTAAACAGTGGGAAAAGGTTGTATGACAGCTAAAAAAATTCTTTTTTTCATGAGTAGGTTTTATGCTTATATTTTAATTCTTTGATTACAAAAATAAAGAAAAGGGAAATGTTAGGTTCCTAAATTTAATGTTTTTAACAATTTGATACTCTTGGAAGTATTTAATGCAAAATGAGGTTTTGCACTAAATTGTCATTTTTTGTTTTTGCTTCTTTTTCACTTTGAAAAATATTTATACTGACATAGCATTGTCTTTGACTTTTTGATTTTGTATTTTTTTTTTTTTTTTTTTTTTTTTTTTTTTTTTTAAGTTTTATTTATAGGCAAATAGTCCAGGAAATAGCAAAACCTCACAAATCAGTCAGACCTGAATCTTGAATAATGTCTGCAATATTAGAAAAATTTTAAATCATTGAGTGATGATTTCAACTGATTTCCAGTAAAACATCAATTGATGATGATCACCATTTAAGTGCTAATTCATTATTTGTAGGCCAATTTGGTATCCTTTCATAAAATTTAGTAAATACACATTAAATGAGAGGTATAATACAGGTATTATAGTTTCTGTTGTAGAGCAATGATTAATATCTTAGTGAAAGGATTTCCTTCCTTATTGGGCATTCTATAATTGAAATCTTGTGCCAGACTATGCTAAATGTAATAAATCTTTTATATTTCAACGACTCTATTCTCCAGTTATCTTCAGGTTTCTGTCATTGTTGGTAACTTTTTAGGAATTTGAAGCTGAGTCATTTATT